ACGATCATCATCGCTGTCAAAATACTTTAGGAAATAATTGGCACTGATATTAAAGTCCGGCGGTGGGGGACACGATAAAGACAAATCAACAAGCTCCGATAATTCTCTAGGGACCTCTCTTTTTTTAAATATACGATTATGCCTTTTTATAATTTGTCCATTCTCACTTGAAGAAGGACAATTTTCATAAATAAATAGAAACGTTGAATTATCGGTGCACGACATTTTGATTAATTTATGTGAATAGTTTTTACGTGTACACTTCAAAATTTAAGTTTTTTTGAACAAAAAACAAAAAAAAAGGAAATCCATGTGTATTCATATTTATATAAATCATTAGATCGTAGTCAAGTGAATTGGAAGAATTTTAAAAGGTTTTCTGAGAGGAGAGGAATATTGTCTAAACGGAATATTTATTATTATCTATTGATATTCGTAACGCGAGAATCATCGGTTATATTGTTATTTTACGTAGTACTGGGCACAATAATAATGTAGAATTAAATCGACAACACTTTCCGAGTCAATAAATTGGTTTTCTAATTCAGAAGATCATGTTTATAAATAACTCAGCATTGCTTGAATAAAAGAAAACAATAACAAGTTTCGATCCAATCATATTCAAAACTGATCTCTGGTAAGTAGTACTCTATTCAATCTAACACCCATAACCTGTTTTTAGTTAGGAGTTGGACAACCGAACCTGTTAAACTAGTTACGGAATATTTTTGTTTTATTATTATTTACAATTATATATTTATTGCTTAAGATTCTGGCTTGCTTCAGGATGTAAATCATCCGTGTTTTACCGATTGTAACAGAGAAATCAGCACTAGAAGCTTGAACAGAAGAAAGTTGCGGTGCTATTATTTCTGCTTTTTTTTATTTTTTTTTGAATCATTAAATACAAATCATTTTCTTTTGGTTTTTGATTCTTGAATTATTATTAACGTTTATATAAAAAGGCGTGAAAAAAAAAATCCAGATATTTTTTGATCTTTTCCTTATTTGTGAAAGCCTTCAAACTGCGCTCTTTTCTTCAAAATATAAGCAGTAGAAGGCTCCTCCTCTCTCGTGATCGTATATACTATTACCTCCTATTGTAGTGACTGAAGGCTTTTAAATG